CTGAAATTCCCGTTTTTCCCCGCGGAACGTTCCAGAAGCACATGGAGAGCTACGTGTCCGACTGCTACGACGCCATCGCCGTTTTCCTCTGCATCCACCTGGCGCTGAGGTTCCGATCCCTCATGGCCAAGAGGAACGTCCCGGCCGTGGACGGGTGAGAATTCCCGGGAAAAAATAATTCCATGGAATTCCCGGGAAAAAATAATTCTCATGGAACTCCCGGGAAAAAATATTCCATGGAATTCCTGGGAAAAAAAATTCTCAAGGAATTCCCGGGAAAAAATTATCAGGGAATTCCCGGGAAAAAATTTTCAAGGAATTCCCGGGAAAAAAATTCTCAAGGAATTCCCGGGAAAAAAAATTCTCGAGGAATTCCTGGGAAAAAAAATTCCCAAGGAATTCCTGGGAAAAATATTCCATGGAATTCCTGGGAAAAAATTCTCAAGGAATTCCTGGGAAAAATATTCCCAAGGAATTCCCGGGAAAAAAATTCCCAAGGAATTCCCGGGAAAAAAATTCTCAAGGAATTCACGGGAAAAAAAATTGTCAAGGAATTCCTGGGAAAAAAAAATTCCCATGGAATTCCCGGGAAAAAAAAATTCTCAAGGAGTTCCCAGGAAGAATATTCCATGGAATTCCCAGGAAAAAATTCTCAAGGAATTCCTGGGAAAAAATTCCATGGAATTCCCGGGAAAAAATTCTCAAGGAATTCCCGGGAAAAAATTCTCGAGGAATTCCTGGGAAAAAAATTCTCAAGGAATTCCCGGGAAAAAAATTCTCAAGGAATTCCCGGGAAAAAATTCCCAAGGAATTCCCGGGAAAAAATTCTCAAGGAATTCCTGGGAAAAAATTCCCATGGAATTCTCGGGAAAAATATTCCATGGAATTCCAGGGAAAAAATTCCCAAGGAATTCCCGGGAAAAAAATTCTCGAGGAATTCCCGGGAAAAAAATTCTCAAGGAATTCACGGGAAAAAATTCTCAAGGAATTCCCGGGAAAAAAATTGTCAAGGAATTCCCGGGAAAAAATTCTCAAGGAATTCCTGGGAAAAAATTCCCAAGGAATTCCCGGGAAAAAATTGTCAAGGAATTCCTGGGAAAAAATTCCATGGAATTTCCGGGAAAAAAATTCTCAAGGAATTCCCAGGAAAAAATTCTCAAGGAATTCCCGGGAAAAAAATTGTCAAGGAATTCCTGGGAAAAAAAAATTCCCATGGAATTCCCGGGAAAAATATTCTCAAGGAATTCCCGGGAAAAAATTCCCAAGGAATTCCTGGGAAAAAATTCTCAAGGAATTCACGGGAAAAAATTCCCAAGGAATTCCCGGGAAAAAAAATTCCCTAGGAATTCCTGGGAAAAATCCTAAAAAATTCCCCAAAAAATCCCAAAAATTCCCCCCAAAAATCCTAAAAAATTCTCAAAAAAATCCAAAAAATTCCCCCCAAAAATTCCCCCCAAAAATCCTAAAAGTTTCTCAAAAGAATCCCCCAAAAATTCCCCAAAGAAATCCCAAAAATTCCCCCAAAAATCCTAAAAATTCCCCCCAAAATTCCCAAAAATTCCCCCAAAAATTCCCAAAAATTCCCCCAAAAATCCCCCAAAAAATCTAAAAAAAATCCCCCCAAAATCCACAAAAAATCCCCAAAAATTCCAAAAAAATTCCCCCAAAAATCCTAAAAAAATCCCCCAAAAAATCCTAAAAAAATCCCCTCAAAATCTAAAAAAAATCCTAAAAAAATATTAAAAAAATCCCAAAAAATACCCCCAAAAATGCTCAAAAAAATGCAAAAAATTCCCCCAAAATCCCAAAAAATTCTCCCAAAACCCCCCAAAAAAATTCCCTAAAAATACCAAAAAAATCCTAAAAAAATACTAAAAAAATCCTCAAAATCCCCCCAGAAATTCTCAAAAAAATCCCCAAAAATTCCCCCCAAAATCCTAAGAAAATCCCCCAAAAAATCCTAAAAAAATCCCCCAAAAATACCGAAAAAATCCTAAAAAAATCCTAAAAAAATCTAAAAAAATCTAAAAAAAATCCCAAAAAATCCCCCCCAAAATTCTCAAAAAAATCCCCAAAAAATTCCCAAAAAATCCCCCCAAAATTCCCCCAAAAATCCTAAAAAAATCCCCCAAAAGTCCTAAAAAAAAATCCCCTAAAAATACCAAAAAAATCCTAAAAAATCTAAAAAAAATGCCCCAAAAAATCTTCAGAAAAATCCAAAAAAATTCCCAAGAAATCTCAAAAAATTCACCCAAAAATCCTAAAAAAATCCCCCAAAAATACCAAAAAAATCCTAAAAAAATTTTTAAAAAATCCCAAAAAATCCCCCCAAAAAATGCTTAAAAAAATCCAAAAAATTCCCCAAAAATCCAAAAAAAATTCCCAAAAATTCCCCAAAAATTCCCCAAAAATTCCCAAAAATTCCCCAAAAATCCCCAAAAAATCCCCAAAAAATCCCCCCAAAAT